CACCAAACCCTAGTCTTTCTTCGGCCTAGTTCTCCCAGAGGAAGACCAGTTGCTAGTTCAGGAATCCCCAAGCCTAACTTAAAACACCCTTGAATGGTGGATGCTTTCCCGGAAGGGGAATACTGGCTTTTCTTCCTCCCAGTAGGTCCTTCAGAATCTTCAACAGCAGGGTTGTAAGGGTAGAGAGAATCTCACTGAAGCTATCTATCCGCTTACTCTCCCAGCTCCAAGGATCACTCTCCGCTACTCCTCAGAGAAAACACCTTGGTGGCAGGGCATGCAAGGGCAGCAAGTGCCTGTTGCTCCCAGTCAGCCCTAACTTATATATTCTTGCCACCTCTTAAGGATGTCCTGTTTGGAGGCCTGAGGCTCTATGTATGGGCAAAGGCACAGCTGCCCTGGCTCTCTGAGTGTGCAGAGGAGGGTGAGGGCAGAGGAGGGTGACCCAAAGACCGCCTCCCTCCACCCAACAATGGCACCAACAGATAATACTCTCTTGTCTGGATGTAGGGGGACAATGGTCCCACAGAGGGCTGGTGGGGGGCAGGGCAGGAGGGCACTGGACAAAGGGCTTCATTCACAACCGCCTCCTCCTCTGCTCCCTCAGTGCCCCCTTCCCCCAATCTGTAGGACTAGGGGGCACAGGGCACCTGTATTCAAGAATCTTTGCCCCCTGCTCTGCTGCGTTTTAGCAGCACCTCTCTGTCAAAGGCAACAAGAAATAGCGGTTTCAATTGTCATCTACACTGACTTCCGCCTTTGGTGTGCACCTTGAGAATTTAGCTGGCTTATGGCTTCTCTATAGCCTTGAGCAGGAGGCAGTTGGGAACTCACTCCCAGCTCGGGCTCCACAACAGCCCTGGACTCTCTGGTGCTACCCTGGACCCAGACCCATTTGCCAGCTGGTGTCGCCACGGAGCATCGACTTTCTCTTCCCCGCTGCTATATTTCCTTCTCCAAAGACAGAGACTCCCCCAAAACTTCCCCGCTCCCCTTGCCTTCGGGCTGCCTTGGAGGTTGGACTTCAACTCCGGAACCTGCTGTCCTCGTTTGCAAGCTACTTCTGCCCATGCATCCCCAAGACTCTTGCTTTCAGTTAGCCTCTCTCCCGCCCCGGCCCCCACGCGTGCGCTGCGCTCACCATGATGAGTGGGCGCACCGCCGTCACCGCCTTTGCGGGCACTATGTCTCCGGGGCCGCCCGCCTGCGCGAGGGACACGGGCGTCGCGGGGTGTCAGGGCCCCACGCAAGGCGCCTTTCATAGCCCGGGGGTGGGGCGCGCGGATGGGGCGGGGTCAGCCCGAGCCTCTGCGCACGCGCTCGCGGGCAATCGAAACCTGGGTGCCAGGAAGCAGCGGTCTGAGCCTTGGCAGAAAGCAGAAGCACACCTGGGCTCTCAGTACCCAAAGAGTCCTCCATGCCACCTCTTTAACCTAAAAGTTAAAGATTAACTTTTTCCCTCCTCTTTGAGACAAGGGATTCACTATGTAGCCCTGGCTGTCCTGGAACTCACTATGTAGATCAGGCTGGCCTGGTAAAGAGATCTGCCTGCCTCTACCTCCCAAATGCTTGGATTAAAGACTTCACCAGGAGTGAGATTAACTCTTAAAACAGGAGGCATTTGCCTTCCCTGGGTCCCCAGGCAGGTTAGGATGAAATGGGTGAAGCATAGTCGTGCATGTGGCAGTCAGATACCTTAAAATTTTGAAACAGGCCCCCTAGCCCTTAACACAACCAACATGTGATGGAAGTACTATTCAGGCCACGAAACCAGGCCGATAGGCATCACCGCCTGCTAAAACAAAAACAAAGACCTAATTCCTCAAAGTCTATAATTCTGGGAGCGTCTCTACATGTGCTAACCTTGAATTTTGGCTTCTATAGTTTGCTTCTGACTGAAGTATGTCAACGCAGGATGTGGTTTTTACGCTTAAAAGCCTACCCTGAGAAAAGTGCTGGGCTACACTGGGATCTCAAACATCTAGTGTAGTGGCAGACTGGCTAATAAACACTTTCTGTTGGCTTACGCCTGTGTCTAACCAGTCTTCTTTGGTGAATACCCTCACCACCTGGCCTCCCCCCAAAAAATTTGTTGTTGTTTTAAAGATGAGTCTCATGTAGCCCAGGCTAAGTTCAAACTCTCTAGGCAACAAAGAATGACCTTGAACTTCTGATCTTCTTGCTGGAAATTCATGCATACAAGAACATGCCCAGATGTTTAAGATGCTGGCGTTCCTGCAAGCTAGGCAAGTACATCCTAGCTTTGAGGATGTGGCCACATTGTTCACTTTCACTATTTTTAAACATTTCATTAAAATATAGCAAGGCATGATGGTACATTTCTTTGATCCCATCACTTGGGAGGCAGAGGCAAGCAGATCTTGGTGAATTCGAGCCTAGCCTGGTCTACAGAGTGAGTTCCAGGACAACCAGGGCTACACAGAGACATCTGTCTCAAAAAAAAAAAAAACCCAAACAAACGAATATATATAATTATATATAATTTCTCAGGAATAGTCGAGATAGCTTTATTTTGTTTAAAAAGATTTATTTATTTAATGTATACTAGTATACTGTAGCTGTCTTCAGACACACCAGAAGAGGGCATCAGATCCCATTACAGATGGTTGTGAGCCTCCATGTGGTTGCTGGGAATTAAACTCAGGACCCCTAGATGAACAGCAGGTGCTCTTAACCACTAAGCCATCTCTCCAGTCCCAAGATAGCTTTGTTAACATGGCCAAGCATGTTACCCTGAGTTGGACTTCGAGGCCCTCAATGGTAGGAGAGAACCAACTCCCTCAACTTGTTCTACTTTGCCTGCCACAGACCTGTCACAGTGTGTAGGTCCACACACATAAATGCACACAAAAATAAATTAAAATGGACTTTTTATTTCTTTGTTTAAGACAGGATCTCTCTGTCCAGCTCTGGCTATCCTGGAACTCGGACTTGCTTGTAGGACTATCCTGACCTGGCCTCAAACTCACAGAGATCTGTCTGCCTCTACCTCCCAGAAGCTGGGACTAAAGGTGTGTACCGCCACTATCTGGCTTAGTAGGTGATTTTTTTATTTTATATGTGTTGGTGTTTTGCCAGCATATGTGTCTATGTGGGGGTTTAGAACCTCCTGAAACTGGAGTTACAGACAGTTGTGAGCTGCCATATGAGTGCTGGAAATTGAACTTAGGTCCTGTTAAAGAGTAGCCTGTGCTCTTAGCCTCTGAGCCATCTCTCCGGCCTCATTTAAAATGCAATTTTAAAAAGACATGATTTGGGCTGCAGAGATGGCTCAGCGGTTAAGAGCACCAACAGGTTAAGAGCACTCACAACCATCTGTAATGGATTCTGGTGCCCTCTTCTGGTGTGTCTGAAGAGAGCAATGGTGGTGTACTTATATGCATAAAATAAATAAATCTTTTTTTTTTTTTTCCAGAGACAGGGTTTCTCTGTATAGCCCTGGCTGTCCTGGAACTCACTCTGTAGACCAGGCTGGCCTTGAACTCAGAAATCCGCCTGCCTCTGCCTCCCAAGTGCTGGGATTAAAGGTGTGTGCCACCACCACCTAGCAAATAAATCTTTTTTAAAAAATAAATATATGATTTAAAATATTTTTATCTAGGGACTAGGACTATAGCTTGGTGTTAGAACACTTGTCTAGCAGGCAGAAGTTCCTGGACTTGACCTGAGGATAAGTTTGGGGGACCAGAGTAATTCTGCCTTTGAATTGCCTCTTACTTGTCTGGAATCCTGACTTCATCCCAGCCTAAGTCATCTTCAGCCCTGCTTCTGGACCACATGGCAAAGGCCTGCGTGATGATTTGTATATTCTTAGCCCAGGGTGTGGCACCATTAGGAGGTGTGGCTCTGTTGGAGTAGGTGTGTCACTGTGGACATGGTCTTTAAGACCATCATCCTGGGCTGGAGAGATGGCTCAACAGTTAAGAGCCCTGACTGCTCTTCCAGAGGTCCTGAGTTCAATTTCCAGCAACCACATGGTGGCTCACAACCATCTGTAATGGGATCTGATGCACTCTTCTGGTATGTGTCTGAAGACAGCTACAGTGTACTTGTATAAATAATAATAAATAAATAACATTTTTTAAAAGATCCTCATCCTAGCTGCCTGGAAGCCAGCATTCTGCTAGCAGCCTTCAGATGAAGATGTAGAAGTCTCAGCTCCTCTTGCACCATGCCTGCCTGGATGCTGCCATGTTCCCACCTTGATGATAATGGACTGAACCTCTGAATCTGTAAGCCAGCCCCAATGTAATATTGTCCTTATAAGAGCTGTCTTGGTCATGGTGTCTATTCACAGAAGCAAAACTCTAACTAAGACAGCCTGATCCGTGTGTGTGTGTGTGTGTGTGTGTGTGTGTGTGTGTGTGTATGATTACACTGTAGCTGTCTTCAGACATACCAGAAGAGGGCATCAGATCCCATTACAGACAATTGTGAGCCACCGTGTGGTTGCTAGGAATTAAACTCAGGACAGCTGTTAATTGCTGAGCCATCTCTCCAGCCCAGGCCTGATCCCTTTGAAGCCAGATATTTACACACCAACTCTGGGAAATCACAGCCTTCTCAGTGGAATTTCTGTTCTAGAAACTAATATTCCCAGGGCAGCCTAAGGCTGCACAGAGGAGGCGGCACATCCGACTCTTCTTCGGGACAGTCTGCTCGCAGGCCCAGCTTTTACTCCAACCCACTCTGAAGGCCTATTGGCTTCGTAAGATTGCCCAGTCTGACAACAGATGTCAGCTGAGCTGTGGTTTCTGTATACCCCCACCCCACTCCTTGTACCCTCCACACAGTACATCTTGGGGAAACTGAGTCAATGGCTGGGAAGCAAACAGAAACACTTCTGTTCTCAGGGCTTTCCTTTTTCTGTTCTTTTAGCATTCTATGCTCTCTGCTTCTCCACCCAACCGGCTCATCTCTTCCATTGGTCCCTACTGAGGACAAGGGGTGGGAGGCGGTGCAGTGACTCACTCAAGATCTGTAAAAATTAAAATGCATATTTAATGGGGAGCAGGGGCGCATGGGGTGGTCTGTTGAAGTCAGTCTCTCAGTCTTTCCTATCTGAAACATCTTGCCTGGGAGCGCTGTGCTCCTGAACCGGTGCCGACTGAGCCAGTTTTCATCCCTCCTCAGCTGTTGAGTACCTCAGGCTTTCGGTTTCTCCTCCTCTTTTGTTTTCTCCAACTTTTGGACCTCCCCCCTGGCTGCTTCTGCTGGTTTCTTCTCTTGCTTTTGGCTGACATCCTCTGAGGGTGGGTGGGTGGAGTCGTCCGAGATCCTCCTGTAGATTTCCCTGGACTCTCTCCTGATCCCTTGGTTTGACGAGTGACTGTCTCCCAACAGTTTTCTGCTGGATCCTCCCGAGCTGCTTCTTTCTGGCTCCTCCACCCTCAGCCTCTGCTTCGAGCCCTCGTCATCTCTCTCGCTCTCACTCTCTGGATCCCTCTCCCACTGTTTCACCACCTTCTCCTGCTCGCCGCCTCGTTTCGTTTCCTTCTCCGACGCTGCCTGCAGATCCATCTGTAAACTGATGTCCTCTGAAAAACAGAACAGGGCGGTTGGGGCAGAGTGAACCACTCAGCCTGTGCTTCTCAGAGCAAAGACCTGAGGGTGGCCTTGGTCACATGATGTCACATGTCACACTCTTTCCAAGGGAGGGAACCAGTCATTGCTCGGGTCCTGAAGAAGCTCTGCCGTGGCATCGGGTGAGATGATGCATGTGTCATACCGTAGCTGGATTACCATGCAGTTGCAAGGGGACCTGAGACTGGCATAAAGGAGATCTCACCACGATCTCCCTCCAAGAAAGATCAAAACCAGAACTGGAACCCTGGACCTCCTGACACTTGCTCCTTTCCCTACAAGAAATGGCATGTGTGCTTACTCTTTGGTCCATGCCATGTGAGCAGCCACTGCCACAGGCTCCTGCTCTGATACATCACACTGTACCAGAACCTCCCACAACCTCGCCTTCACCGCTGTGATGCAAAAGACGTCCTTCCTCCCTTGACAAAAATGACATAGGTGTTGACATGTGACATGGGGACTTTTTTCCACTGGCCCCATCTTGCCACTGTTGTATTTGTCCCTGGGGAGCAGTCAGTGTTGAGTTCTTTTGTAAACATGTGAGCAGGCTGTGAGCAGGAGGGGCTGCTGGACATGGGGAAGTCAGCAATAGTGGTTTAACAGGTTCTCGGCCATCCCGAGGTAAAAAAATAAACATCAGTGCCCTCTTCTGTTCAGAGAAGGAAGTGTCTCCATGAGAAGGCAGGAGATCTTTCCTCTGCCTGTGGCTGGCCCAGAGGAAGGGAAGCTGCTTTCCTGCCCACCTCCAACTCCCCAGCCCCTGTCCATAGCTCCAGTGACGTTTTAATTGCTCCATGCAATCTACAAACAGAGGCCTGATCTCTCTTTGAGGAAGTCAGCTACCCTGAGGCAGGCACTGGAGAGATGGCGCAATGGATGACCCTGAGTCCTGAGCCCTGAGAATTGGAGGCACACACCTGTAAACCCAGGACTTGGTGGTTAGAGGCTAGAGGAAGACCAGGAGTTGATGACTCCTGCTATGGAGTAACTCTGAGGCCAGGCTGGGGTACACGAGACACTGCCTCAAAATAAACAAAACCAACATACCAAAACGGAAAAACAAAAACCTGGGCAGTTGTGGTGGCCGGCCAGTAAATCCCAGCACTCAGGAGGTTGAAGCAGGTGATTCCTGGAGCAAATGTGACTAGCCAGATGAGGCTGGAATCAGAGGTCATTCTCTGTTTTCCACATACATGGTACACATGTGTATCCGCACATGTATGTGTGCTATAAGGGCAAGCTGTCATCTGGCTGCTCTGCTGTGGGAGCCTTGGGGACAAGGAAGAACTTGCCCTTGAATCTTGGGGTGGGGGGGCTTTAGTTAATAATCCACACTGGGCTCTGTCCTCCTGGACACCACCACCACCACCAGCACATCATGGCTGAGAGGTCAGGGTCCTACAGAGTGAGGCAAAGGACATTTGTCACCGAAATCATTGTGGAATCGTGATTGAAGCCCAGGATCTAAGGGTAGATGGCCAGACTGAAAACCACTGTGGATTTCTAAGCCCCTCTTTGACAGTGTTCCCCAAAAGAGGGATGTAGTGCCTACCACACTCCCAGAATGCCTGGCAGCAGGACACCAAATGGAGACCAGATACTTCTCAAACCAGATACTTCTTCTGTGCTTGCCCATAATGCGACTCTCTTTCCCTCAGACCTTCCCTGTGGGCAAGCAGAGCCTGAGGGGTCAAAGGCCCCTTTGCTCCCTGCAGGTCTAGAGCGCTGCTGCTAAGCAGTGCCCGAGGTTCCAGATGAGCAACGGCAGTCAGGTAGACTGGGAGAGTGGTGAGGCGGCTCCCCTCCCGAGCATGTGATCTGGTAGTCACCAGCCTCACACAACCTACGACCCAGTACAAGGGCAGAGTGAGAGGGACCAGTGTTTTACACTGTACCTGACTGGCAGTGATGGGCCTGGGTGTGGCCCTGTCATTCTGCCAGTGTCTGCTCTTGCTGTGCCCTGCGGGAAATGGCCCTGTGGGCTGTGGGCCCCTGCAGAGCAGAGCCCCCGTCTGTCTGAGAATTTAACACCTACCTGGCACACTTCGAGTGATAAAAATGGTAAATTCCCCATGAACAACCTGAAGACAGAACAGAACAGAGTCACAGGGCAGCTGAGCTGGAGGCAAAGCCAGGCCAAGGTGGACTGAATGCTTTCCCGTCCTGATCCAGGAAGAGGTACAGCTGCTGCTGGCAACTATATGAGCATAACTCAGAGGGCAGCGGCCTTGGGAATGACTGGCGAGTGAGGAAGGGCAATCGGTAGAGGAGGGTGTGGGAGGGACGGAAGGGGTAGTGACTCACGTCTCTCTGCCTTTTCCCTGAGTATCTCCCTGTAGTTCGTTTTCTTAAGTTCTTCGATGATGCCCTTATTGGCGTCGTCTAAGGCCTGCAGAAGGCAGAGGAGCTGGTGAACCCCACCCCCTTTTCTTTTTTGGAGACAGGCTATTACTCTATTCCTGGCTGGACTCAAATTCCTGCCTCCACTTTCTAAGTGCTGGGATTACAAGCATGTGCCACCAACTCCCAGCCGGTTGCTTTGTTTTGAAACAGGGTCTCATTAAGTATGTGGTTCAAGCTGGTCTCACGCCCTGCTTTCTGTGGGGTCTTGAAGAGCCTCTCCATCTTTGTCAGAGGCTGGCACTGAGCTCAGTAACTGCAGCCTTAGGCTACATGTAGCTGGATGCCTGGTGGGCAACATGGTTCTAGGGCCTGCTCTATCAGGTTTCATGTCTGGAGATGACAGTGCAGGTGGGTGAGGTGGAGGTCTCAGACCTGGTCCCACAAGGAGTCACTGAGGACCAATTAATGAAGTCACTGCCCAACCTTCAAGGCAACCTCAGCCCTGCCTCCCAGGAGACCAGGGCTTTTCCTCTCAATCTCCTTGGTCTCTTACAGTGTTGGTCACAAACAAGGGTTTATGCTTTTGCCTTGGTTTTCCTGCAGACACCAAGCTTCTTATGGGGCCAGGATCACAGTCAGCCATGAATAGACTCAGCCACCTTACACTAACTGTGCTCAGTAAATACTTGTGCTCTCTGTAGGTGGTCATGAGGATCAAGTCTGAGAGGCCATAAGTGAGACTCGTGGAGCCTGTGGCAGGGCTGGAGTGAAGGTGGGAATTCTGAGGTGTCCCTCAACATGAACTGGGCAGCAATATGGCAGGCCTAAGCTACCCTGAGAAATACAGAAGAAGCAGGGGCACCCACTGGGGTCTCTTGGGAGGGATTTTTCTACTGCAATATGGAAGTATTGGCCTCGCTACAGTCTATCCAAATACACCACAAACTTTCCCAAAAGGTCTCTTTTTTGGCATCCCCTGTCCTTCCAGCACAGCTCCCAGATCCCCCCCCCCCCCAACATCCTGTGCCCTGCTATTCCTGACCAATCCTGCTTGTCCTCCAAAGCTCAGCCTGAGGCCTATCTCCTATTGGTCTTCACTGTCAAGGTGGCCTGTTCTTGCTCAAGCTCCTGCTACCTGTATCTCCAGTCTGGCCCCTTAGGCCATGTCAGTGTTGCTGAGCTGTGTGCTCTCGCCTCTCAGCCAGGGGCCTGCTTCAGAGGAGAGGCACCCCCATCCAAACCCACTCTAGTAGATGATTACTGGGAGGGATGTCTGTATCTGTATGCCTCAAGAACGGCACTGTGGAAAGTGCCTGAGAACTCTGGTAAGCAGGACGAGGTAGATGGGTGGGGACCCCTGAAGTGGGCATCACTGGACTTGGCTGAGGTCCTATATCCACTTGGAACAGTATCTTTGGGAGGAGACTGGGGTGGGCTAGACTAGCCTGAAGTACCTCTTGGCTTCGCTTCACTTAACTTGTGGACTCTGCCCCTGGCACTTCTAGTCTAGGCCAGCACTGCCCAACAGGAATGTCTGCAATAGTGGGACTACTCTAGGTCTGTACCATGTGGTCCCACCAGCCACACGTGGCTGCCGTGCACCTGAAATATGGCTACTGACTAAGAAACTGAACTTCGAAGTCTTAAAGTAGGCTAGCAGCTGCCTCCTGGGTGGGGCTGGGTGACTGCAAACTGAGGGGGTCAAGGAAGGGCCCCCTGGGAAAGGATCTGGAAGCTAACACTTAGGAGTTGGCTGAGAGCTTCCTGGAGGAGGCAAACCCAAGAAGACTTAGAAAATTCGAGACAGAGATTAAAGCACTTGTTCATGGGCACAAGATGGTCTGTTAGGGAAAGGGTAGGAAGCTAGCTTTTGGCTGGGACCTGGGCAGCCAAAGGCTGGAGAACCCCACAGGGAGGATACCAAAGGCCTTCCTAGCTCTACAGAGCCTTCTTCCAGAGACCAGGGTGGAGGCAAGAGAAAGGGAACCCAGATGCTTCCAGCTGGCCCTGGAGGGCATAGCAGTCTTAAAGTGCAAGTGTTAAAATCAGTTGATGGTGTCGAGGTCATATACACTTGCTGCACAATCTGGGGAACTAGTTTGGATTCCAGAACCTGGGATTCTAGGTAGATGTGGTACCCTCCTGGAATTCTAGTCTCAACAGGCAAAACCAGGGGATCCTAGTCAGTAAGGTTATTAGCTAGTGAGGCTACTCTGGGTATGACAGCGAGCTCTGGGTTTGCTCAGCGACCTCACCTCGGTGATTGAGGTGAGGGAGACGGCAAGGATGATCCCCAGTGTTAACCTCGGGTCTCCAGATGTACATATACATGTACACACACATACACACACACACACACACACAGAGAGAGAGAGAGAGAGAGAGAGAGAGAGAGAGAGAGAGAGAGAGAGAGAGAGAGA